CCGGGTCTTTTTCACATCACCTTTTACGTTAAGTAAATCTGTTCTCATAATGCAATTTTTTTGCCCTTCTTATCAGGCTGGTTAGGATTGATGAGTAACGTTTTGTTTGATCTGGTTATTTGGTCCATTCTGTACTGTTTTTTCATATAATTGCTTTATATTTATGGATTTGAGGAAGCTGGGTGTTAGCCAGGGACTGTTCAGTCTCTTAGCTGTGATCTGTTTAGTTGTTTTAGGGCAATGCATGTTATAAAGGTGTTGGGGTTCTTTTAGAAAATTATTAATACATTCGTCAGTATCTTTGTAGATTTCTAACTCGGTTTGCTAGTTGATGTTTGTCATTGCTGTTGTGTAAGTTATTAATTGTTATCTCATTATGAAGTCTGAAGGTAACTTAAGTAGTGTCTTGGGGTAATTTACCTAGATTGGTTATGAGAAAGGTAGGATAGTGGTCTGTGGTGTTATCTGTGATTATGTCTGATTTTAAAGGGGATATGGTGTTGGTCCAGAGGTGGTCTAATAAGGAAACACTAGTCTCCGAGATTTTTGTAGGTTTTGCTACCGTTGATAGCATCAAGCAGTTGCTCATAGTGTTTGTGAATTCAGTTACTTATGGGTCTGGTCTTGCAGGAGATTTATATTGAAGTCTCCTGTGAGCAGTAAGTGGTCTTTGTTTATGTGTGCATCAGTTATCATGCTTCCTAGTTTTTCACTTTGTAAATGTTTATCACTGTGAGAGGTTTTTGTATTTATTTGGATTTAAATTTAGCTATTACTATATATTCCCCATGTTCATCCCTTGTGCAAGTATTATTGATACATTCTAGTTGGTCTTAGTAGTATATAGCTGTGCCAACCCCTTGCTGATCTGGCATACAGTTGTGTATGGCTGTGTAACCAGGAATGGCATAGACATCTGTAGCATCAGGCTTTACCCAGGTTTCAGTGAGAGTGATGATGGACATACTGGCATGCAGGGAATTTAGTAATGCTGTGTGGTCATTGTAATGTTTCCTTAAAGATCTGACATTGTAGTTAAAGACAGTTATGTTGTTGGCTCTGAGAAGTGCCTTTGCTTGTTCTGCTGTGTAATAGAATAATTACAATAACAACAATAACAATAGAATAATTGACACTTACCTTTAATGAAGATCTGGTGATGATTGATGGGATGGGAGGAGGGGAGAGTGTCGAAGTTGTTACTGGTTAGAAGGGGAATCCCCTTCCATTAGGACTTGAGGTAGCAAGTCCTTTTCCAGGGTTACTTCCCTTCTTCTTTTAATGCCACTAGGACCAGCTTGAGAGTCACTGGACCTCTGTCGCCGTTCCTTTAAGATTTGTCTAAAATGGGCCATAACATTGTCATTGTAATAGTCACCAGCATGGCTTGCAATAGCTGTGTTAGGGTGATTTTCATCCATAAAGGTTTGCATTTCGACCCACTTTGCACACATTTCCTTAATTTTTGAAGTAGGCACAATGGAGTCCACTACTGGCATAGGCTTCTCAGGGTTAGCCCCAAACGCTTCAAAATCTTTCTTAATTTCCATACTAATTCTCACCCTTTTTACCACAGAGTTGGCACTAGAAGCTTTCTTGGGGCCCATGGTGACTTATTTTGCAGAAACAAGCACCAAAAACAGTGATAATATGGAATGTACCGAATGTATCCTTAGATGCGTGCACACTGGCTGGCTTTTAAACACTAGCACACACGGGGCAGTTCAGGCCACACGTGGACACATCTCGTACGAATCGTATCGAATGTTGGGTTTTCCATCGAATGTCGAGGTGAAATTTTTGCTTTAAAATGCATCGAATGTCAGATTTATCGAATGTCGATGCCATCGAATGTCAGGGGTCCATTGTATTCTAAAGTTAAAAAATAAAGGAGCTAGGGAAAATAATAGTAAAATAATGAAAGTACTACACTTTAGCACCTGAAATAGCACCTTAATTATTTTAACAAATGTGAATATATGAACTAAGGTAGTTATTTAAAGCTAAATTAAAGGAGCTAGTGAATATAATAATAAAACAATGAAAGGAAAACAGTTTAGCACCTGAATTAGTACTTTAATTATTTTAACAAATGTGAATATATGAACTATGGTATTTATTTAAAGTTAATATAAATGAGCTAGTGAATATAATTTTAAAACAGTGACCACCACCAGTTACCACCAATCCCGGTAACAGCAGCGGCATCCTACCAGCTCTTATTTTTCAAGAAACCATCGCTCATCAAAGCTTGTGATTACCTGGAGTTTACCTGGAGAGAGTTCTGGGGGTCAATGCCCCCACGGCCCGGTCTGTGACCAGGCCTCCTGGTGGATCAGAGCCTGATCAACCAGGCTGTTACTGCTGGCTGCACGCAAACCAACGTACGAGCCACAGCCCGGCTGGTCAGGAACCGACTTTAGGTGCTTGTCCAGTGCCAGCTTGAAGACTGCCAGGGGTCTGTTGGTAATCCCCCTTATGTATGCTGGGAGGCAGTTGAACAGTCTCGGGCCCCTGACACTTATTGTATGGTCTCTTAACATGCTAGTGACACCCCTGCTTTTCATTGGGGGGATGTTGCATCATCTGCCAAGTCTTTTGCTTTCGTAGTGAGTGATTTTCGTGTGCAAGTTCGGTACTAGTCCCTCTAGGATTTTCCAGGTGTATATAATCATGTATCTCTCCCGCCTGCGTTCCGGGGAAAACAGGTTTAGGAATCTCAAGCGCTCCCAGTAATTGAGGTGTTTTATCTCCGTTATGTGCGCCGTGAAGGTTCTCTGTACATTTTCTAGGTCAGCAATTTCACCTGCCTTGAAAGGTGCTGTTAGTGTGCAGCAATATTCCAGCCTAGATAGAACAAGTGACCTGAAGAGTGTCATCATGGGCTTGGCCTCCCTAGTTTTGAAGGTTCTCATTATCCATCCTGTCATTTTTCTAGCAGATGCAATTGATACAATGTTATGTTATTATTATTATTATAATCAAAAAGAAGCGCTAAGCCACAAGGACTATACAGGATACAATGTTATGGTCCTTGAAGGCGAGATCGTCCGACATGATCACTCCCAGGTCTTTGACGTTGGTGTTTCGCTCTATTTTGTGGCCAGAATTTGTTTTGTACTCTGATGAAGATTTAATTTCCTCGTGTTTACCATATCTGAGTAATTGAAATTTCTCATCGTTGAACTTCATATTGTTTTCTGCAGCCCACTGAAAGATTTTGGTTGATGTCCGCCTGGAACCTTGCAGTGTCTGCAATGGAAGACACTGTCATGCAGATTCGGGTGTCATCTGCAAAGGAAGACATGGTGCTGTGGCTGACATCCTTGTCTATGTCAGATATGAGGATGAGGAACAAGATGGGAGCGAGTACTGTGCCTTGTGGAACAGAGCTTTTCACCGTAGCTGCCTCGAACTTTACTCTGTTGACTACTACTCTCTGTGTTCTGTTAGTGAGGAAATTATAGATCCATCGACCGACTTTTCCTGTTATTCCTTTAGCACACATTTTGTGTGCTATTACGCCATGGTCACACTTGTCGAAGGCTTTTGCAAAGTCTGTATATATTACATCTGCATTCTTTTTGTCTTCTAGTGCATCTAGGACCTTGTCGTAGTGATCCAATAGTTGAGACAGACAGGAGCGACCTGTTCTAAACCCATGTTGCCCTGGGTTGTGTAACTGATGGGTTTCTAGATGGTTTCTGATGGCCTAATTGAAGGTACAACTGCATGAACCCACTTAGTCCACAAAATGACCCAAGAATACAAAGAATGCAACCCAAATCTTGATAAAATAGATGATCTAAGGAAGACAGCCATGCTAACCCAAACACCGCCTCAACTGCCAGACGAACACTTAACCCAAGCTCAGGGAAATAAAGCCTTCTCCTCCATAGCTTCACAGTATATACTTCAGTGATACTATGAAAGGAAATTGCAGAACAACAGCAGTAACAAAAGAATAACACCAAAGACTCTACAACTCAACATGTCTACCCAGCAGGACGCCAGTGTATCATCAACCCCCCTCACCACCGCCAAGGGAACAACAACAACAAACATGGCTGACTCCCCCTCCAACTCCACTCCCTTCAAAGGATTCTCTCATGAACACCCAGGTATGATTCTTCCTGACACTATTAGGGAATACATCGTCGCCCTAGAAAATTAAAATAAATATATTAAAGCAACACTTGCGTGATATAAATCCAAGGTAACCATCCTCAAGAACAAGATCCAAAACCTAGAAGAGATTACATTAGGAAGTGCTGACACAGAAAATACTCTGAAAACAGCTATAGCTAGTCACACTGAGCAAATAACAACCCTAAATATGAAGGTTGAAGAAGCAATCAAGGACTGGAATCAGAACATGCACACTCGACTGAATGAATACCTTGATATCCAAGATGACTGAAGAAATACTTCCTAACATCCCTGTGACTCATCTGAGTCTTCAACTTCCAAGAGTGACCCCTCGTTTCTGTGTCCCCTCTTTGGAACATCTTGTCTATTCCAGGCAGTATTTTGTTTGTCGTTATTTTGTCTCACCTCCTGTCCTCCAGTGTCATCAGGCCGATTTCCCTTAACCTTTCTTTGTAGGACATTCCTTAGCTCTGGAACTAACCTTGTAGCAAACCTTTGCACTTTCTCTAATTTCTTAACGTGCTTGATCCAGTGCGGGTTCCAAACCGGTGCTGCATACTCCAGTATGGGCCTGACGTATCCTGTGTACAGTGTCTTCAAAGGTTCCTTACTTAGGTATCAGAACGCTAGTCTCAGGTTTGCCAGGCGCCCATATGTTGCAGCAGTTATCTGGTTGGTGTGTGCTTCCGGTGACATCCTCGGTGTTATACTCACCCCAAGTACTCACACATATACGAGTACACAAATACACATGCACACACAAACATGCATGCGCACGCACGCACGTGCACATGCACACACGTAACTGTATTTGTGTATACCTAAAAATACTTATTAAAAATATTTTGCAGGTTCATCCAAGTCACAAGGTGTGCTACGTGCCATACTGGGGTCAGGAGACCTCCAATGTCAACTATGAGGTACTTTGTCTGAAGTCCATTCCCCTAGCCAATCTTGGTCTCCATTAAATTTTATTATTATTCTATACGGTCTTACAAACTTAGGTTCATTTAAATTTTATGATGTATGTGAGCCTTAAGATTAATTTAGTAAATGCATTTTGGGTCTTGACAAAACTATATACATATTCATGTTAAAATTTGCATCTAGTGTCATTTCATACAGTACTTTAATCATGTTATAATCATGCTCAACCTGTGTCATTATACGTATCTAAAAATAGGCTAAACCCATATGGGTCATACAATAAGAGTCATTCAGTGCCTTTGCAATGAGAAGTGCTGTAATTTGGATTGATTCAAGTGTATTATAATTACAATATAATCACAGGGAAGCAATATTATAATGAAAAGTAAACGCTAAACCCACAAGGATCAGGGAAGTAATAAATTTGTAGGGGATCATAGTGCCTGGGGAATGGTATATAATAACTCTGATCCAACGAAGCAAAAGGTGGCTCCAGTTCCTTGGATCAAGAGTCCTTCCCCAGCTTCAAGGCACCCTCCCATGCAATATTTGAAAAACTATGCACGTGTCCTTATTCTCATATACTCGTAATCATAATTTAGTTTTAAGGCTGCCCAAAATGTTCTACAGAACAGAGTTTTCTGTAAAGCAGTTATACAGATATGTCAATCACTTTAACCCCTTGACTGTTTCAGTCACATATATACGTCTTACGAGCCACCGTGTTTGACGTACATATACTCATAAATTCTAGCAGCTTCAAATCAAGCAGGAGAAAGCTGGTAGGCCCACATGTGAGAGAATGGGTCAGTGTGCACCATATAAAAAAATCCTGCAGCACGCAGTGCATAATGAGAAAAAAAACTCCGACCATTTTTTTTTTAATTAAAATGCCATCTTTGTGGTCTATTTTTGTATGGTGTTTATGGTTGTATTCTCATTTTCTTGGTTTCACTATGAAAAGAACCTTGAAATGGAGCTCAAAGTAGGGGAAATGTTTGATTTTTGCCGATGTTCAAAAGTAAACAAATGATGTCATTATCCAATAAATGTCCAGCTAGCCATTCTAATATGCAGTCATAAATGGGTTGACATTATTTATACAATTATTACAATATTGCAGTAGTCTGCATAACAGGAAATCTTGTTTTTTGTTTGAATAAAAATTCAAAATACATACAAAGCAAGAGTAATATCAGAGGGGCCTGGAGACATGACTGATGAACAAAGAAAATGTTATTTTAGAGCCAGGAATGTCTGCATTGTTCATTCTGGACCCTATTTTGAAATTGTCATATTTTTAATTTTTGTGAAATTGGCCAAATTGCAAATTTCTGACTATGTTATTGGGTAGTTGAAATCGGTAAATGGGCAGTTTCTTGTACTCATTCGATAGAAAAAAATGGAGTTCTAAGAAAATAGCTATGAGTTTGGTCGACTGGGACAATGGAATTAGCCGATAATAGGGCTCAAAGTGGGAGAAATCGCCGATTCGTAAATATCGCTAACTTTGTGAGAGCGTAATTCCATCAGTTTTCCATCAAATGTCATTCTTTTGGTGTCATACCATCGGGAGAAGATTTTCTATCATTTCATAAGAATTTTTTTTTTTTTTTTTTTTTTTTTTTCAAAAAAATTTTTAAGACACCAGGAGACACCTCAGGATTTGGAGTTTCGACAGTCAAGGGGTTAACTGTATAATTTGCTGTACTCCATCTTATAGAAATAAAGTTTGGTTTGTCTGTTTATATCTAAGAATTTACACCTAACCCAGTTTTGAGGAGAAACTTTAAACATTGTTTGTCTGCCTTGAGCTGATTATGGCATTAATTTTAGGTCATTCATAGGGGCCATGCAATGTCTAGGGAAATGAGAGGCAATCAGGTTTGATCCAAGGAAAGGAAATATATTGTATTCAGTTTTTGGGATTAAGAGCCCCTCACTGGCATCAAGGCACCTTCCTTAAGTTGTCTGAATCGAGACATCATCTAGGTTCCTTTGCAGTTTGTATCTACTGTACTTGTGACTTGTTCCAGCCATGGTATTATGACTTATTAATTTTATTTCCATTTATTTTCATGAAGGGGAAGCACTAAACCTGTAAGGGCTATACAGCTAGGGAATGGGAGACAGCCAAATTTGATCCAGTTAGAGAGAGAAGTTGTATAATTTTTCAGAACAAGACCCCCTCATTATCAATGCACCTCCCTGCATTTTATTTTCCATGTAGTTGTTAGTTATTGAATGTACTAAACCCATAGGGATCATTCAGCACTCTATATACAGTACCTAATTTTTTCAAAATAAAACACTAAGAATAGAGAACATTCCATTTATTAGCTTTTACAATGACTCCCATTTAAGTGTGGAAAGTATATAACATCTGGCCAGCCAGACACTTAAGAGTTTGGCACTCTATTTAATAAAGTACTGCCGAATAGTTTCATGTGGTACAAATGGGGCCAATGGGCACTATTGACTCCCAAATACCCACAAATTGGAGATGAAACCTCAGTATTTAACAACACATTCAATCCCATACCTACACAAATGTTTGTCTAGATAAGACAAAAGCATCATCCAATTTCCTATACAATTTGTGGGGCAGTTATGAAATGTTCAAGTGACAATGTTGTAGGTTGTATTTATCACTACTGATGGCAGAGAACTGCCCTTGAGGCAAGTGCTATAGGCCTGCTGCTTCCTTATATAGCAGGTGATATTCATGGTGTGATACTGTACACTGACAACAGAACTGGTAGCAATAATTGCAGTACAGGGGAGGTCCCAACTAATGAATAAGTCGTGTTCCTGGTGTTACAACTTAGGAACAAGTTATATGTAACTGAATGTGATTTTCTATAAAAAATAGTAGAAATGACCATTGTGTATTATATATGTTCTTGACTGCAGACTGGTACTTTCTAAAACCAATACAGTACCTGCATTTTGTAAATACTGTACAGGTATTATTTCTCATGGACCTTGTCTACAAGCAGATGTTCGTAACTTGGGTGTTTATAAGTTGGAGATATAATGTACTTTAAAATTTGGTGATAGCAGTAATTGATATACAGATAATACATTATTTGCAAGCATTTTCTACTTGATGGAAAATCCTGAAACAGTAATGTCATGCTTCTTAGCCAGAGTGATCAAACAAGCCAAAGTATGCTATGTATTAATTTTTATGAATTGATAAATATATTGTATTCACAAGAATTAACATACCATACTAGTTTCTAATTCTGTACCAAAATTAAATTATCAGCCTCAGCTTCCTAATATTTATATGCACCATTATACTACATATACACAGTAGGCATAATAAATATGCACATGCATAAATCTTGTTACATTCATGGAGAGTGCCCCTCCCCCCCATGAATCCAGTAATGTAATAAATGTCTTCTGTTTCCAAGTGTTGTCTATCAGATTTAATTTCATCGAGTTTCCAGGCCAGTCATTAAAGTATCGGAAAATCACAGTAATATAGCCAGTTCTTTATGTCTTTGGCAAGGGGCACTGTCTTCCATGTAAAAGTTCCCCTGGCACTTCTTGAATCTTGTCAGGCAAATAGTCTGCTAAAGCCATACTTCTGAGCATGCATATTTATGAGGCTTACTGTAGTACAGTAAAATGCTGTACACTATAGATTAATTCCATCCAACCTAAGGTCAGTCTAATTTACATTAGTATTATTTAATGTCGGTGAAATACATTAGTTTTGAGACTACATATTTTCACAGTTATATATTCTTTTTGATTATAATAATAATTCAGTTATATAGGAAAAATTAATGTACGGTAGACTTGCTTGTCGTATCAGCAAAGTTAGCAAGTTCTGGTTATTAAGCATGACAATAATGTATCTTCTACCTCACTATGGGAATAGCAACAGAGTTTGCAACTTATCCAGTCAGGTGGTAATCATGTGCTATGCTGGTCTTCCACTGGGGGACTCTTGATGCTTGGGATTATACCAGTTTTTATACACCATCTCAATAATGTATATTATGCTACCT